CTTGAGCTGGTGAGATTAGAACCGCTGAGCTGCAGATCACAGTCAGCTAAAGTGGCCTGCAGTACTGCACCCTAACCACTGCGCCACCTCGGCTCCAATTTTTAATGTTTTTCTGGAGAATGATCTTCACTCCCCGCGATTATAATTTTCAAGGAATTTATGGGAGACCTACAGACCATTGTGAAAGCACCACTGGTGATGCTATTGCTTACTTTACTAAAGGAGCAAAAAGAAAAGTATCCAGAGGTGCCAATATTGCCAATATGGCTGCTTGATTTGCGCCATGAAGAATGGTGGGTATCGCAGCCTCATTCACACCTACGAGAAGCTTACCATGTGGTAAGCCAAGGAAATCTCACATTACTGAATACAATGTATTTGGAAATGAGTCAGAAGACGGAGAAGTTACCTCAGATTTTTATTTCACTACTGGGAAAAGTGAATGAATGAGAGTCAGAAGATAAGGAAGTGTGTGCTTATTAATGTTGTTTCTTTCATTTTTGAGGTGAAGGAGAATACGGTGGCCAGAGGAGGAGACAAGCCACATGTTTATTCTCCGCTGTGATTAGGATAGCCGCAGTCACACTGTGGCGCTGTCCTCCATTACATCAGATGTGCCCGTAGTTAATTACAAGTTACCTTCCTGAATTTGCTGCAGTAAGAAGCGTATATTTAACAAACCAAAACGCAATATAAGAAGCTGGTGTGGTCCTTGTGGTTGTGTTTAGGGCTAGTTTCAGAGCATTGCAACATCCAGGCTGTTTTTTATACAAACCATTTGAAGGAAGAGACACTATTAATACCTCCAGGTTTTAAAAAAGGATCTCTCTTATTGAAACGAGGTTGGAAAGGACTAGAAATGCAATACAATTATGTGTGCTGCTGGTTTGAGTGTTCATCAGAATAGAGGGAAATAACATTTAACGTAATCTGCCGTTGTTTCTGAATATACAATTATGGGAACCTGTAGCCGATCATCCCAACTCGGTGTTCTCCACAGTCATTCAAAATAAAACTTCCAGAATTTTAGGAATTGCCTTCTGACTAGTTAAGTCCATGTTTAATTTTGAATTGTTCAAACTAAATAGTGCAATTTCTATTGATGTGCCAAATAAAATGTTAAACATAAAATGTTTATAAGAGACAAATCAGCTGCCTTTCCTATACAATACATAGGAAGGTAGCTCTTTTTGCTTGTCCTTGCTCTTGGGATTTCCCCTTTCTTCCTAAAACCAAGTCCCATGGTACTTAACTAGCCATTCTGCCATTTTTGTCTGATCTAAATATGGCTTTGCCAGTGGCTGCTTTTCAACGTAATTCAAGGGTAAAAAGCATAGCAGAGGATGGAAGTTGTTTTTCACATTCTATCATTGCCCAACATGGAAGTACACTGGTTGATTTAAATAGAAAAATGTGAAGATACTCCAAGCAACCACAGAAAAACAAGAGAGCTGGGAGGATGAACTTGGGAGCCATGTGAAAGGGCCTTAGTGTATTTATCTTACATAGTTTCTGAAGGTCTGGATTCAGATTCTGAGTCAACCTGGACATTCATCAAAGATTCTTGAGAAAGGTGTATCACTTCTGGATCGATCCTGGTTTGTTCTATCTTTAATATTGTTAAATATAACGAATTCAGTTACTGTAGATCATCTGCAAATACTAGTAAAATGATTTATAAATAACATTTTCAAAGGCATCAGCTGTGATGGTTTATCTCAAATTCTTAATTGTTTCTAAAATATGTTAAGTAGTTATCGATATAGAATACAAGAATTGGAATATGCTGTGTTGTAAAGTGGTTAAAGTCTTGGATTAAGATTGAGGAGAGATTTATTTCAGTCGACAGCAAAGAAACCTTGATGAGTGATTTTGGGCCAGGCACTCTTTCTCAGCCAACCTACCTCACAGGATTGCAGCTCAGAATAGAAGATGGATTCAGAGCAGGGGTGGGATTCAGCTAGTTCGCACCTATTCGGGAGAAACGGTTGTTAACTTTCTAAGCAGTTTGGAAAATCGGTTGTTGGAAGAAATCTCATTTTGTTTTTTTCCACTTTACAGGGCTAATCCTGTAAGGAAGGCAGGCAGGAAGGAAGGAAACATTCTGGTGTTATTTCTAGCCTAATCTTTATTGCCCTGCTTACAGAAACTGACCCTCTGGTTAACCCTTATTGCATTGTAACAGCTAAGGCGAAGCACCCATCGACATGAGTGATATTGAGGAGTGATGTTGAGTTGGCTACACCCACACAGTCACATGACCACTGAGCCCCGCCTACCCAGCTGGTCATTAGGGCAAATAACCGGTTGTTAAATTATTTGAATCCCACCGCTGAGTCAGAGCCCCACATAAGACACCTTGTAGTCCTGAAGAAAAGCAAGGATTTATTTAAAATGTAACTTTTTTCTAATACTGCACAGTACAAGCGTAGAGAATCATATGGTTATAAGAAGATTTTAAAAATTATCAATAAATAAATATTTCTGGCTTTGTTAGCCACATGAGTGATATGCTTAGATATTTGTATATCTAAGATGCAGGATAAAATTTCAAAACCTAAAAAGGGAAAGAAAGTTGCTGTTAACTATTTGAATATATTACTTTTATTATATTTATTGTCTTTGTAGCTCAACTCCATCCAGTCACCCTTCCGGGAATAAGCAGCACCAGATTGTAAAGAGGGAGCTTTTAATTGTCTTTATAGGGCCATATTTAATGGTACTGTGACACAAAGTTACTGGTTTATAGAAGCTTTTGTAAATTTATGATAATTAAAATAATATTTCTCTCACCCTTTTTTTTTTTAAAACAGAAGCACATGATGGCCGTAGTTCTGCTAATTTCCACTCTTGCCTTCAGCTTCGCAAATGGAATAAAACTACAAGATTTCAGTTGGCAGTTTAAAAAAATACCAAAGATTGTGAAGGAAAAGACGTTCTTCCTTGACACTCCTAAATATGAAGCCAGTGCCAAATTAGAACTGAGCGGAGTGTGTGGGATTGAATGCCAAAGGACATTGCCAGTGCCACATGGGTCTGATCTGAAGGAGTTGCTTTCCTATGAGACAGTCTTTGAGAATGGCACGAGGACCTTGACAGAAGTGGAGGTTCTCGGAATGGAGCCCGATGCAGTTGTAAACATTACTAAGATGCCAACAAGAAGGAAGAGACAGGTCTATGGCACAGACAGCAGATTCAGCATTTCAGACACTCAATTTCTAACCAACTATCCTTTTAACACCGCCGTAAAGATCTCCACGGGCTGCAGTGGCATCCTTATTTCTCCAAAGCATGTACTCACTGCTGCCCATTGCGTGCATGACGGTAAAGATTATATTAAAGGCAGCAAGAAACTGAGAGTGGGGCTGTTGAAGCTGAAATCCAAAGGCAGCGGCAAGAGACACAGGGGGGCCAAGAGGAGTAAGAGGGACTTGCCAGAAGTCAAAGAGGATGAGGTTGACTCCAAAATCCAGAAAAGGAGATCTGGCAGTAGAGCTGGGAGAAAACAACAAAAGACACCTGCGTTGAATGAGAGGAAGTCAGAGCGTAAGCCGTCCTTCCAGTGGACCAGAGTTAAAAGTACTCAGATCCCCAAAGGCTGGACAACGGATATGACAAGAGATGTTGCGGTTGATTATGACTATGCTGTTTTGGAACTCAGGCGTCCCCACAAGAAGAAATACATGGAACTTGGCATCAGCCCGAATAGCAAGATGATTCCTGGAAATATGATCCACTTTTCTGGATACGATGCAGATCGAGCTGGCCAACTGGTTTATCGCTTTTGCAGCATATCTGATGAATCCAATGATCTCTTTTACCAGTATTGTGATGCTGAGCCTGGTTCTACTGGTTCAGGAATCTACCTCCGCCTTAAAGAACCGAACAAGAAGAAATGGAAACGCAAAATTATTGCCATTTACTCTGGTCATCAGTGGGTGGATGTTAACGGAGAACAACAGGATTACAATGTTGCAGTTCGAATTACACCCCTCAAATATGCTCAGATTTGCCTCTGGCTAGGGAACAACGACTCCTGTGCACAGGGCTAATGATAATGCAGGATCACCTAATATCTAGTAGTGTTAGGCATTGGAAAGTCATACATTGACTTGCTTTGATTGTATTTGAACACAATGCCAGAAATTAGATTTTTTTTTGTATTGAGGAACAAAAAGAAACAAACACCTCAGCATTTATGAGAATTTCTCTGCTAGGTTAATTAAGTTAACGATAGACATGAGGTGCACTTAAATCCCAGGTTGCGTATGTATGTACCGTATTTTTTGGAGTATACGACGCACTGGAATATAAGACACACCAAGGTTTTGAAGAGGCAAATTTAAAAAAAAAGTTTTTGCACTCTGCAGAGCTCCCAAAAATGGTCCATTTTTTTGCGAAAATGGGCCTGTTTTTTGTCAAAAAAAGAGCATGCATAGTCTTTAGGAGGCCCGTTTTTTGCTCATTTTTGCCCTCCCCAGCTCCCAGGAACACTCTGGAAGCCTCCTAAAAGCTATGCATGGCCATTTTCGCAAAGGGGGCGGAGTTTCCAGAGGCCAAAAATGTTGTATCCAGTGTATAAGACGCACCCAGATTTTCACCCTCTTTTTTTGAGGGAAAAAAAATCCATCTTATACTCTGAAATATATGGTATATATCTCTCTGTGTGTGCACACAAATATAGGTAAGTTTAAATAATTCATAGTAAAAAACAAATATTCTTTGCTTTTTCAGTTTGTTACCCAGGTAACAATTTAAAGAAAAGTTTCTTCTCTGGAAACTGGTATTATTAAAACGTTTATTATTTTATTTCCAACATATTAACTTATCTCAGGGTTCTGCTCAAGTAAGCATCACACATTCATTAATAAAACATAGAGGTAAGACAAGAGAAAAAAAATAACCCTCACACTTTGATGGTCCTACCAAATTAGCATTTATGAAAATGGAAAGCCATTTTCTTGAATTCTAAACCAATAAAATGCAGCTTAATCAAAGAGCGCATTCCCAATTTGAAGAAAAGAGAACCATGTAAGTTAAATGCCTTGAAATCATATTTAGAAAATAAACAAAACTGAGAGTATTAAAATTGTATTTGTTTTATTCAGCCACTACTTTGAACAAATCCCTGCTTTTTAAAATTGTTATTAAGGTGCAATAGTGACAAGTATGTACTGTAATTTTTAAAACTATCAAACGCTAAATGTATCATCCTATCAGATGTAGGAGATAACAATAGCCCAAGAAGCCATATATATGCTCCTAAGCGTAAGGGTAGCGTGACAAAGAAGAGAATGGCTCTACAGCAGTGTTTCTCAACCTTGTCAACTTGAAGATGTCTGGACTTCAACTCCCAGAATTCCCCAGCCAGCGAATGCTGGCTGGGGGATTCTGGGAGT